ATGATGCAGTCAAAGCCTCATAGCACAGGTGTCCATTGTAGCTGTCTGACTATATTTTAAGTGTTGTTAGAAACACTGGGACAGTGTACCATTGAGGAGATGAGGAGATGATGAGATGTGGTGTTGGGGAAATGTTGTTTTCCTGCTGTATTTTGTTTAGGAAAAATTATCACAAATATATTGTCTTTAGACAATATACCCGCATCTCTTTTTACGAACGTAATTCGTTCACAGAAACACTTTCGTATAGCGACAATTCGTTAAAACAAAAACCTATTTCCATTATTTCATATGGGGAAAAAATACAATCCGTCCCGAACCCCCAAAATATTCACCCCTACTTTTAATTTGTTCACGAAAACATGACAAAAACAATAATAACTAACATTCATACTGTGGTTTGTGTTTTTAGTACTAAAAAACTGCTTAACTAGTTAGACATCAGCACTGTATAGCAACCACTTCATTTGCTTTTTGTGCTATGACGCGCACAGTCTTCCTTTTCTTATCACCTTTAGGGTTCATGATAAAGTCTAAACTATGGAAGCCCGTTTCCGCCAGGGAGTAAAAAAAACGCGCTATGGTATCTCGTAATTGCGACTTTATATCTCACATTTGCGACTTCGAAATAGCCCATATTTCATTTTGTTATTGTAACGGATTCGGGTTCTAGGGCTTGTGCCCTTGCCGCTCCCACCCTAGTTCGTGCCTCACTGTATTGGCCTAAACCCAGGTCTTGCCAGCTGAGCTAAAGAAGACCTTCTTTTGTAAGTAAAAAAGGACATACAATGGAAATATGTAAAAAGTACAAGTTTCAGCTTTTATAATTGTGAATTCCTCTGGATGTGAAGTGTCTATTTCTGTATCTTACTTCATATTCTGTCTCCGTTTTTGTATTTCTGGTGTTTAAATAAAAACTTAAAAAAAAAACACCGTGCACTATTCCATCCTGGTACTATGGATGCATCTTTCTTTGGCGGGTACTATCTTTGGCGCTTCCTAGTGCGCGCACCCTTCTTTTGGTTCGAACTCATCGTTGCTTTCTCTCTCGCTTGTTTCTGCCTTTGCGACTTGGATTGGTCGTCTCGATTGAACTGTCCCAGCCTGGTTTTTTACTTTCGCCTGCCCATCGGTTTTCTGAGTATAAGGACTTGCGTGTTTTTGTAACCTTTTCTATAAGGACTTCCTGCAAAAGCGTGGGAATATCACCTACTTGAGCACCTTTTTTTAAGCATAATGATTGCTAACAGTGGACTTTATTGGGGTCATTTTTGCAGAATGAGAGGACAGCATTAATTGATAGCTTTTGGATTTATTAACAAAATGTTTTTTTTAAGGCCCGTTGGTTGTGCAGGGGAAAAGTTTTCACCCGTTACCCTGTCCTCATTTTTTAAGACCTGTCAATTTGATCTTAAATGGGGAGGAGGGTTGATCTTTTTACTGATCCGAAAGTGTTTATTTGGTCAAACGTATCACGCATTTACTTCTTTTGGGAAGTCGGCTCACATTTCAAGTAGGCAACCGTGTGCTGTTATATCAGGTTGCTTGCCCGAACATTATAAAGCAAATCAGTTTTTTTAGATGGCAATAAGTGATAGAATAATACATTATGATATCAGTTGTGCAAAAGCAAAATGCAACATAGTCCAGCAGTATTCTTCACAATGTGTTAAACAGATAATGCAAAAACTGATTTTTTTTTAAGGTTGGGGAAGAGTTTCTAATGCGGAAACCAAGTACAGAATGGCAAGTAATTTTCCACTCCTCATAACTTTTTGAGGTATAGATAAAAGTAGATTAGAAAGACCAAAGACCTTCAACAAGTACACATTATTTCAGTGACTCTGGGTCATCAAGAAATGGCTTGTGGGCTGCTGGAGGCCTGTGCTTTATTTTCTGATTTAAAGATCTCTTTTGATTGTGTTTTGGACATTCTTTAGCATATCATCATTATGATTCCATGTTTTGCATCACAAGAAAGTGTAAGTATAGTTAAAATAATTTAAAAACCCTCAATTTAAAAAGTGTTAATTTAGAAACGTAAGACATGCACAATGAAAATGCTGGGGGAGTGTACAAACACAGCATTGATGCAAGTGAATTTCACTATGCTGATTCTAGTAGCAGTAACTTGTTGTCACTTCAAAATCTACCTGGTAATACTATGACATCACAAGGAGTTCTGATCTTATGTGATAAAACACTTGCTTACATAGCTGGAGACCCAGAATTACCTTTGCCTATACTCATGAAGGAAATAAGCAAATTTGTCCCTTTAACAAATAGTTAAGAATCAGTGGTCATTAGAATGGTATTTTCATTCTTTACTATAACTTTTGCAACTGGTGCCCACAACTGCATGTTACAGAGGTATGGAAATCCACTTGTCTGTTGATGGTCATTAAAACTTGTGATTGTTCTACACTGTTTAAAGTCCTGATGGGGGGGCTAAACATGAGTTGCTAAAAAGCAACTTCTCCCATTGACCTAACAAGGAGAAACTAATCAAGGTTCGCAAGATTGCCTTTTTCCCCTTTACCATTCCTAACATTTTTTTCACAGAGAGGCATGCCAAATTATGATGAAAGAGTGGCATGAGTGTCTGTGACATGACATTCGACACCCTCAACTTCAAATCCATCCCTTGTCACAGATACAAACCGTCTTACAGTATATTGGCTTAATTTGCATCCTGCTTTTCAAACCAACAGTGGGGAGGTTCGCTTTGGGTAGATGGCCTTACAAATGATGCTACAAGTGCAATGTTTATTGTTTCATCTAAACAATCAAAATATTCTACATTATTTGTGGATGGGAAATGGATGTTTTAAATATTCCACAGGGCACACCTATTGATTGAACAAATTACAAGATTGATTTTATTGTTATATCTTTTCCGTTATATGGTGCACTTAGTGGGGTAAAATTGTGGAGCAGTAGTTAGCATTGTGCTTTGCAGTGCGGGAGCTCTGGGCTCAAATCCTGGGGTGCTCTGTGTGGAGTTTGTATGTTCTCCCCATGTTTGTGTGAGTTTCCTCTGGGTGCTTTGGTTTTCTCCCAGTCCAAAGCCATACTGGTACATTAATTGGGTTATGGAAAAATTGGCCCTGGTGTGAATGTGTGCACCCTGGCCTACCCATGTTTTATCCAGACTTGTGCCTGTTGATTGCTAGGATCGATTCTGGCTCTCTTGTGATTTTGTGTTGGATAAAACTGCTAGAAGATGCCTTTATATCTCATAGCAAGATGAAATTGTTATGGTGACATCATTCCCCAGGACTCACATTGGCTTCCAAGCCCGTGAAGCAAGGAACTGGAAAGTTTCAGCTTACAGTACTTGATTTTGCTGCTCACATGAGCTGTATGGCTCAGGTGCCAGGAAAATACTGAAAGATGTTAAAACAAATTCAATGGCCTGCCACACATGCTAGATGAGGTGAGACTGAGGATTTGACCTGCCATCTTGGGTATACAGTATCTCTGAGAACCTGAGCCACACAGCCCCCAAACAAGTTTCAGTACCTAGTATACTGAAAGATCCGTCCACTAAAGCGAGAGATTGGAATAGAAATTGGAATAGTGAGAGCCTCGTGGCTATACTGTACACTCACTGACACAGGCTTGCTGTATACTATCATCTCTGTTGCCTGTGCAGTTTACACTAAAAAATCTGAATACTTTTATTGGTCCATGTTGCTTTCAAACAGATCACATACTTTACAAGTTACTTTGTCTGGTCTGTTGTGTACATTGCTTAGGTTTTACTGTATATATCCATTCAGAATTGGCTGAAAACATTAGATACCAAAAAAGCATTGTTCTGATATTTATTTAGACTTATTTTCCATTGTTTTAATTTCCCAGCTTAGTTATCAAAGACAAGGCTTAGCCTGAGTAGAATGGAGGATAATAACTAGCTGCTGTGTACAGATAATTTAGAGGTAAGAAAACCTAACCAGGCAGTAAGACTTATTTAGTGTTATCCAATTTGTTCCATTCACAAATCTCCCAATTCTCCAGTTTTAATTAAGAGAAAAACTACATTGTCTTAATTCTTTAAGATTTTTAGTGTTAGGGTGTTTATCGTTTTCTCTGCTTTGTCAGAAATCTATTTGCATACTGTTGAAACTGTTGTTTTAGGGATTGTACTTTTAAATTGAAAATGTCAATATTAATTATTTTCAGCATTACCTGTCAATGTTATACTCTGTACAGTGCCCCTGTGCTTTTTAAAGTAAAACTGTCTCACCATATAGAGGATTCCAAATGAATGTTGACTATTCCAACCTTCTTTTAAAGAGTTTTGTTTATAGCAGTTTGTTTTTTTCCTGCAAAATAAATTGATTAAACAATAGCTTATTGTAGTTGTCAATTATTCTAATTAAAAAAACCGCTAGATGTCAGCTACAGATACAGATAAGCTTTTATTGGCTGTGTGCTAGAACTATTTAGTTTTAAAAAGTCTATGTGCTTTTGTTTTTTTCAATAAATGGTTTATGGTCAGAATGTATTTCCATGTTAATAGCTGCTCAAACCTGGTATGGAAGATTGTATACATAGATTTATGTAACTAGGAAACAAAACACGCTTTGTTGCTAACACTTTTAATGAATACATCGAAGAAGCACGTTTGTAAGGATTGCATCTTGTGTTTAAGTTGTTACCACTGTGAAGTACCTGACATTAGTATGATTATTCTTTACTTAAAATAAAAATTGAAGATCCAAAATAGGACTTGGTGTTTGCGATGCGTTTTTTGACCGTGTCTACTGTCTCGGTAGCAAGCACGAACACAGCCTGCTTATTCACTTTAAACTCTGAGCAGATATGATATTCCAATCTGATGTAACAGCACAAAGAGCTTAAACGTGTGGAGGGCGGGCATATAAAATCTGTACGTCCCAACTGTCTTTGGGATTGGTTTAGATTTTATGGGCGGAGATCAAAATAGCTCATGGAGACTGCACTCCAGCGCTCGTGTGACACTAATCAAGCTTTGCCGGACATTGGTGATTCTGTGGTAACAGCTGACAGCTTGCCAGGCATGTTGCATTCTACTCGATTCAGCCTGCATTTCAATTTCATAATTGGAATCGTACATATTTTCTGAAAGAAAACATTTCTTCAAAACTCACTTGTAAGTTTAGGTTTGGATTTTTTAACTTGCAAAACATTAACATTTCTTAAAACAGTTATTTGATTTTCTGACAATATGATGGTGCGTAGGAAAACTGTGGACTTATCAGAAAATCTTACCACATTGATGATTTTCATTATTCTTTCTGTCGAACTGTCGAATGCAGCACTTACCGTGTATTATGGACAAGTTGAGGAAAACGCACCGGCTGGGACCCAAGTAGAGGGGTTATTAATACCTGTGTGGAAAAAATGCCCAGGTTTAATTCGGAAATCCGTACTGGACTTTACTTTAGAGGGGGAAAATGCGTCAGACTTTCATCCTGATTACCACGGAGAAGGACGCCTACTTTTGAAAACCACAAAAACTTTAGATCGAGAACTGAAGGCGGTTTATGATTTGACCGCAACTCCACCAGTCAGTGTCTGTTCTAATACCACTGTGAGGATAGAAATCAAAGTGCTTGATCTAAACGATAATAGACCTCGATTCATTAAAAAAAGTCAAATCCTTGAAATTGACGAACTTACACCGATAGGTGCAGAATTAATGCAGTTGTCCGCTTTGGATCGTGACAGTGGAGAAAACGGTAGAATCGCGTACTATGCATTCCCCCCAAATGAACTTTTATTCGTTGTTCCAAAAAATGGAAGGGTAATTCTTGTTAAATCTCTAATAGGCAGAAAAACTATTACCCTCTGTGCTTTTTCTAAAGATAATGGAAACATTGCATTGCAAAGCGAACCGGTTACATTTCAATTTAAGGTTAGAAGACCTGATGTAGAGGGAAATTCCTGCGAAGTTAGGAAGCCAAGGGCATTTTCTGAAGAAATGTTCTATACTGTAAGCGTTTCCGAAGATGTAAAAGTTGGGGACATGATTTTCAGCGTTCCTGACCTAAAGTTTGAAAAGAAGTGGTTCGAGGTAATTTCTGAGGCCGATTCCCCAGTACAGATTGAAAGAGACTCTGGCAGGCTTTATTTAGCCCAAAAACTGAAGAGCGCAGCGGACGTTATTATAAAAATACAGAACGTGGAAGGTAAGGAAAACTTTCTTTTTTACTTACCACGGTTAAGAAACGCTGTATTTGCAGAATGATGTAGGATAAGACATAATGAGAAAGTCTTCCCTTTTAAAACTGATTATTTCATATCCTGTTTATTATCAGAATACAACGTTGTCCTTGGAACACCGAGACAATTGTCACTGGTAAAACTATTCTGAATGTGCCAGATGTAATCCGCAATTTAAGGATAAAACGAATGGTGATTCTGTTAAACAGCTTTAAATTAGTGTTGTCTTCAATATGTGTTCACATATTGAATTTAAAAATAGTCTTAATTGGAATATTCTGTTGTACAATGCGAATTTTCTCTTGATCCAGCAGATTATTTGAAACCCACATTTAACCCCCACGTATCTAGCTACCTTTGTTCAAATATGTAGTGTCATAACTAGGACAGCTTAGGACAGGTGGCCACTTGAGTTACAAATCGTGTTGTGCTCTGCTCGTATGATGTGAATTTACTGACATTTTGTGCATGAAAAAGAAAATGTAGAGGAAGAAAATGATGGTTATATAATCTGTCAGATCTGAAGAAAAAATAATGACAAGCTTCTGAATTAGGTGGCTGGAGCGCATTTTGAGAGGTGTCATCGGTGGCAAGACAGAATCGTGTCAGACGTCTTAACTCTAATTTTACGAATTGTTTTATAATATTAATGTTTTGTTGAGGTTCACAAAAAATCACAGCAAAATATGTCTGGTACCGAAAGGAGGATGCTTTCTTTTATTAACGGAAGATAGTTTTATTAATTGCCCATGTTTATGGTTGCTTTTCATTTTACACAAACGCACAGCCTCATCAATGCTACAGTATATACTTTAACGCCTGGCACACTTAACAATTCACATGTTAATGTCGATCATGAAATACACTGGGTTCCATAGCAGCTACCTAATCTGTTTCTGGGAGTTTACTTTTTTAAAGGATCTCCTGCATTGTTAACATAGTGATTGATTTATTATCCTCATAACAATGATAAGTAGTATTCGTTTCAGGGAAATATTGTGAAGTTTCTGTATAGTTTTTTTAACTTTAGAATAGTAAATAATAAAAATAATACTTATTCTGATGTCAAACTTGTATTTTTCATTAGTCTTGAATACCATAACCTATTTTATTATAATGGGCAGAGTACAATATAGGTCTAGCTATTTTGAGATCGTGCCCTTGATCCTTAGACTGCAGTATCTTAATGTTTTTCTTAGTAGAACTTTAGAACTCAAATCGACTGTGAAATTCAGAACAATGCTAAGAAAGCCTAAAAGCTGCAATCACATCAATACACCCCTGATAATCTTGAAGTAGTATCACACGCTATTACAGTGCAAAGGCCAACTTTGTATGGGGTAGATCATGGCTTAGACAATTACCTATTATGAGCAAAATCAGTTTCCCTTTATGTATTGTTACAAATGAGTGTTGGTGGCATGTTGATTCCTTGATACTTTGATGCATCATAAAAGCACTCAAATCATTCTGAATTAATGTTTAAAGTAGTACAGTATAATATTCACAACACACTCTACCTCATCTTTTGGAGCTCTATGGTTTACTCTATTACTTCTTAATAAGTACAGTTTATCAATGCAATCCATTTCCTTGGCGTCTCCATAGCACCGGCCTGGCTATGAACACATGTTAACATTTATTCTGTATTGTAATATAAGAGACTCTCGCCGAGCTGTTCATTAGCTACATAGAATGTGAGTTTGCTGTAAGCAACGTCTGTGGCTGTGCATGTGCTGGCTGTCAGATCTGTCTCAAGTAAATGCAACTGACAAGCCCGCAGTGATTTGTTTGCTATACTTCTGTAAAGGAAAAAATCCCCTCAAGCATCAAGCTCATTAAAGCATTCTGTGTTTAATTGCACCAAGATGACAACCTTACCTAATTCCGCCCTTATTGCCGATCTGTGTAGGAATGGGATTAATTAATAAATATTTAAAAATTAGGAGTCTTGGTTATATAATGTCGCATTGGTCATCAAAAATGTTAAGCAAAACAAACCATACTTGTTAATGGTAATAAGAAAGATAATTTACATATTAAATCTTGGGTTTCATACATTTTATGTGGAACAATACTCTTGTGTTCCAACAAGGCCAAATAAATGGTGAAGGAAAATTATAGAAACGTAATGCTTAGGAATTGTATTATATCCCATGCCCTTTTCTGCCATCTGTTTTTAGAAACTCTATGCAGGAAGACAATGGTCATATTTTTTCTTCTATGGAAGTCACTTTAGTGGTCCTCCTTCAAAATTCGATGACAGAGGGTTACTTAAAATGCTTAATATTTCTTACTTAATATTTCAAACACCATACTGTGTAATGGGGACCTTAGTCTTTTAGGGATTTTAGCAGTGAACATCAATCTGTCATTGTTCAAATTGTTAAAATGTGAACGAGGACAATCTCTTAACAGATGTTTTTATTATTATTGTTGTTGTTGTACATCACATCCAGATGGGCATGCAGGAAGGGATACAAGTATTTTAAGTAGGACTTTATCAAAGTAGCGACTTTCAGTCTCGTTGTTATCAATCAGTACAACAGGCTAGACATGCTCAGACCATCACAATTGGAAGTCACAAAACTCGTGGTGACTCGTGGTCTCCTAGACTGTGGCCTAACTTTGATGAATTGTTATTAGTTGTAATTTCATGTCAGGTTATGTATTGCTATCTATGAACACCCTAGATGTTAATTGACAGTGCGGTTAGCTGAGCCTCTAACATGCCAGTAGCAAGAAGGCATTTTTCTTTTGAAATATGAGGCATATCTTTTCTGTATTTTTCTTTCTAACTTAAGCTTGACAAGCTTGAAGGTTAAATCACTTCATCAACTGTATTCAATCACGTTTCTCATTCATGAGGAGATTTATTGCTGATGCAACAGTGAAAGATATTTAAGTGTTACAAAATGTTACTAAACAATTTAATCAGTATCCAAAATCCTTATATTTTATTTTCCTAAAAGATTCATGTATGAAGCGTCCTAACTTTTTTGGATGCTCAGTGTACTTTAAAAGAATTAAAAAGAAGGATTGTTGAGTTTCTAAAGAATTAAATTGAAATCTCTATCACAGTCTTAGGTAAAATGTGAACAGAGCTGCATCAGCAAATCCCCAATTGTGCTAGACATGCAATACAGTACATCCTAAAAGCAGACTGGAACTAAGCTATTCATTGTCTTATATGTAAGCGGAAAAAAAATAAAATTCACACTAAACTTCGAAGGGACAAAATGGAATTAGCACAGTAGAGGAAATATATTGTGAGGCAGAGCAGTAAGTCCTAGCACTTTAGTAGCAGACACCTTCACATATTGAAGTCTATTTAGTATCTGAGTAGATATGACACTAAGCAAGGTTTTATAATAGTCTTTGTAAAAGTAAAGGTGTGTACTTTATCTACTTTTCAACAACAGATATACTGTGAAGTGTTGTTCAAATGGAAAAAAGATACCTTTGTGATGTTTGTAATGTAAGTTTTATGACATCCATTTTTTTCAGTTTTGTTTAAGGGCTTCGTTTTCTAATTCAGCTACAGTGACAGTGAAATCCTTTGCATAGTTTTTACAGGGGGCCAATATGTGTAACAATATCGTTATAGTTCAGATTACATTTCTGTTGCATTGATGTCTTTATGTCACACAGAAATATGTAAAGCACCAAACTACAGCAGTATTATCTTATTTAGTTTTACATAGTATATCTGTATATAAGTATATCTGAGTGCCATGTCAGTCAAAATTAGCACTTACATCCAGAAGGAGAATAATATTAATGACCCACAGAGAAAGATTATCAGCAAGTCAACAAAGTAACTTCGTCTTTATCTAAACCCCAACTGGAAAAGTTCAACCAGCTCATCAAATGCAAGACAAATTTGCAATTCAACTGCAAACACCCACTCTACACTTTGTGCAAGAAAGGGAAAAGTGGAAATGGGAAGTAGTTATTAAGCACTTCAGGGTCCAGGCCATTTTTAACACAGGTGTGATAGCAGCAAGCTTTAAGTCTTATCGGTAAACACATGTTATATCAATATTAAAGTGATGAGGATAGTAGACTTGAGAACGGGTGCAAGACTTGATCACAAATAATATCATCTTAGCTACCAATTCTGACACATAAGTTGCATCCACAATGGTAAAAACACAGAATCTCAGACACATGAAAGCAGGAGGGGGTATTATTGACATGAATACAGAATGTGAGGTCAGCAGCTAATACATAATATTTTAAATGCTGTTGTGAACAAAATTGCATGAATCTGTTACACTGCTCAGAATAACACACTCCTCAGAGAGAGACAATAGTAAGCAGACTCATTAAGTGGTTCAAGCATTTTATTGATGTTAAAAGAAATTATTGTAGGATAACTGAAATTCTTCTTGGTAAGGATGTAATATATGGGATATCTGGATGGAATATATGGGATATCTGGCCTTTAGGGAATCCTTATTGGCCTGCTGAACAGTCAGCCACATCATTCTTTACAAACCCTCAAGGTGTGTTGTCTTGTTACTGATATAACTCATTTACATAGAAAGCTTACAAACTAGAGTCCTTAGAACTCTCATGTATTGGAGGAAAGAATGAGCAAAATAATCAGGTGAATTTTATTAGGAGCTGTTCTAGCAATAATTTATGTTAATGTGTCAGTAGGACAAACACCAGAATCCTCAAGCAAACCTGAATTTTTGTCAGCTCAATTAGTTTTTCTGGTCCTTTTAAGAGGTGTACTGTAATACACTAATTTAAACACTAGGAGATGAGAGGAATGACGAACCACACTTGAATTGGCTGGCACTTGTGTGTGATCGTTTACTTTGAAGCTGCTGTTAAACAGAAAAACATGCTATAAACCTTCAGTGCACACATTGCTGTGGAGAACTTTGACATTCGGTGTTAGAGACACAGAGAGAAGTTTTAGAGGACATTTCCAAGAGGAGTACTGTATATTGGT